ATGACTACCGACCCGCCCCGGTATATGACCGCACCCAACACTAGTGCTCCCAAAGCATTAGACCCCGAGTATCTAGATATGTTTCCCTTGGAATAGTATTGTTAGTTGTGTGTTTAAAAATTATATTTAAAATTATCTAAGTAGTTTTGTTTTAAATTTAATACATGATTATTTATTATCATTATAATTCGTAATAATAAAACTATAATTGATTTTAATATTTTAAAATATTTTATGTCTCATAAAACTGAATTTAAATGTTTAATAATATTGAATTTTGAAAAGATTATACATTAAGGTTTATCACATACCTTTTTCCAGTATTTTGTTAATAGTATAATATTTATATTCTTATAGTTTTATAATACACTAAATAATATTAATAACAATATTTATACAATTATTTAATATTGAATTTTATTTATCATACATTTAGGCTGAGCAAATATTATTATTAAAATTTATTTGTTCTTAAGATTACATTCAATGAACATTTATGACTGTCATTTAAAATAATTAAAAAATATAATATGTAAATTTAAAATGTTTTATTTTCAGTATAATTCTTGTTTTAAACTTTTTCATAAAATATATCCTTTATTCATATTTTATATTAATTAACATTAAAAATTTTATATTAATATTACTTTTACCATTTTATAGATTTACAATGAATTCCGTTTTATATAAATTATATTTACAATGCAATATAAAATTAGAGATTAATAATTAAAATAACTTTTTGTCGTAATTAAATCCGGATGAAATCATCACAAAACATATTTTGAGTGCAAATTGTACATTTTTATTCATTCAAGCACAAATAAGTTATTACTTTAAATGAAATTGATTATACTCAGTAAATGCACCTTTTACAGTTCTAGTGACTATAAGGTTAAACCTATTTATTAATACGTTTGACTGTTCTGAACATTTTCATTTTAATGGGAACACCAAGGTTTTATATTTATTGTGAAACAAAAACAATTATTTTCCAAATTCTCAATATATATTTAAAAATTAAATAAAAGTCTCGATTAATATTTTTATTGAATATAGAATCAATAAATAGTATCGTGTTAATTTTGTTAATTACTAACAATATACCCATTTATATAACTTACTGTATATTACTATTACATTAAACTAAATAAATCATTAATGATTTTAGCAAGTAACTGATTAATTATTTAAAATTAATTAGTTATATAATACAAAACAACATGTGCATTTCTATTATTAAGCTTTTGTGTAAAAATATTTATTTCATGTGATTGAAAATTGATCTAGACAGAAATCTCATGCTGAATGTAGATAGTATAAAAAGAGCTAAGAGTTCCCTGATGAGTATCAGTTGAATCCGATATTGAATTCACTTAAACATTAAGTTTCTAAAACATAAACTTAAAATGAACAAGGTTTTGATTTTAGTGTCAGTGATAGGAATGTGCAGTGCATATTTTCTCCCAATATTAAGCGGTGGCTTAAGTATGTTATAATAATCACGAAAATTATTAAATATTAACATGATTTTGAAAAATAGGTAGTATTAGCGGTACTATTGGAGGTGCTGCCGGAGGCGCACAGGGAGGTATTGGCCAGGCTATTGGTGGTGCTACTCAAGCTGCCAGTACTATCGGTGCAGCGGCTGGTAATCTAATCAATGAGGACATCAAATTCAAGACCGGATTGGCTCAGGGTATGTTCGCATTGACTCTAAAACTACAACTATTTTAATAATTATTTTTAACTACAGGTGCCCTAAATGCGGGCTCAGACATATTGGCAGCAAAGAGTGC